GTTGGCCAGTTGGAGTACACTTTCAGTCCTTGCCGAACTTCTTCATCTTCCAATATATCAAATGTTTCAAATTCAACACTGGTACTATTCAGTATTTCCAGAATTTGTTTGCTAAATCCACATTTTGCCTCCTGTTTGTTTCCTTTCATAAAGAGCATCACAGAAGCTTTATTTGTCAGCACTTTGAGCCTTTCTTCTAATTTGGGAGCTTTGGGACAAATTGTATCTAGTTCTTGAGATGCTTCTAGCTCCTTAATTATGTCAAGTCCTCCTATAAGCTCCCCGGAAACATAAAGCTGAGGATAGGTGGGCCAATTGGAATAGGTTTTTAGCCCCTGCCAAACTTCTTCATCTGAGAAGATATCAAAACTGCTAAACTGAATATTATGCTTATGGAGAATTTCCACCATCTGCTTGCTGAAACCACAGCGTGGTTCTTCAGGAGTTCCTTTCATGAACAACATGCACGGGGCAGCATTTATTAACTTCTTCAGGCGAAGGTTAAGATCTTCTTTAATACACTCATTAGCACTGGGTGGGAAGGAGCTGCTAGAAGCATGTCGTTGAACTTTTTTGGTCAACTCTGGGGCATGTGCTCCATCTAATCGGTCGATTTTCTGAGAATTCTTGAAAAACAGAAAGGTGGGAACAGAACTAATTTCATATTTTTCAGATACTTCTGGAACTGCTTCAGCTTCCAACTTCACAAATGAAACTTGAGGGTGTTCCTTAGCCAACTCGGCCATTACATCATTCATTTGCACACACTGTGGAGCCCATGGCGCCCAGAAATGGACCACAAGGAGGGACTTGGCTTTGAGGCGCAGATGCTCCTCAAACTGCTGGGCCGAGCCGACCTCCACCACCGTTGCCACCGCCTCAGCCGCCCCTGACGCCATGCTGCAGCTGCCAGACCTTTGGTGCTATTTATTGCCCCGACCTTCACTCCCAAGTGACAGGCATCACAGATGAATATTTCAGCCTGTTTCTATAGCAATCTCTTCCCTGGTCTTAAGTCTCTCTGACTTCAGACTATGATCATCAGAAATTTTTGACAGTGACCTCCAGTAAATATACATGTACATATTTATCACTAAACCAATAACTTCATGGTTCAATACTTTTAAGTCTTTTTATTTATTTATTATTTGGTACAGGGTCTTTCTACACAGCTCAGACATGTAGCGATCCTCCTGTTTCAGTCTCCCCAGTTCTGGGATCACAGGCGTGTGCCACCATGCCTGGTTTCTGTGGTCAGCACTGCTTGTGGTACTGGGGATAGAACCTGAGTCCTCATGCTTGCCAGGCAGGTGCTTAGACCATTGAGCTATCTCCCCAGCCTTCATGATTCAATACTTATTAGAAGTATTTAATAAAACTTATTAGGAGTAGATGTACTCTGTTAATTTTTCTTTTCTTTCTTTTATGTTAAAGATTATGCCCAAGGTCCAGCATGTTAGGCATGCTGTATGCCAACAAGCTGTACGCAGCCCATTTCTATTATATTTCATTAAAAAAAATGCTTGGGGCAAATGAATTTGGCCTTCCCACAATTTGGCTCTCTGAAAAGTATATTTCTCTAGTTGTGGATGGCTTTATTTCTTCTTACACGGGCTTTGTGTTCTAGATACTC